TGGAAGACCCTCGGGAGGCCCGCCCTCGGGGCTGGAGGCAGGAGAGAGGGGGAAGATGTGCGGGCCGGAGCCGGGCTGGGGGTCGGGAGACCTGCGTGCTGGGGGACCAGATCCTCGTAAGAGGAGGGGGCTGGAGGCCTGGGTTCCCGAAAGAGGGGGCCTACGGGTGGAATCTATTCTTGGAGAATGAAGGGCCTGGAGATCCGGATTCTTATGTTCTCAAAAGAGAGGCGCTGAGGGTAGGGCTCCAGGGTCCTCGACAGCCGGGGACCGAGGAGCAGATTCCTGGATCCCTGCAGGGGGAGCGGCTGGGGGTCCCGACTCCTGGGTTCTCACTGTGAACCTCTGCCCCTCCCCCAGACCATGTCGCCAGAGGAGTGGACATATCTAGTGGTTCTGCTTATCTCCATCCCCATCGGCTTCCTCTTTAAGAAAGCTGGTGAGTCAGGTTCCCACCCCAGTGGAAAATAAGGAGGGGGGGGGCCAAGAGGGGTGAACCCCTGGAAGGCTTATGCTCTCTCTTCTCCCTGCAGGACCTGGGCTGAAGAGATGGGGGGCGGCCGCCGTGGGCCTGGGGCTCACCTTGTTCACCTGTGGCCCCCACACTTTGCACTCTCTGATCACCATCCTGGGGACCTGGGCCCTCATTCAGGCCCAGCCCTGGTGAGGATGCGGTGGGGGAGGTGGGGGGAGAGGTAGCAACCTGTCTCTTCTCTCAGTCTTGCCTGACCTCTGCCTCGCTCTGTGGCCGTCCTTCATTGATCTGTTTCTTTGGGTCATTCGTGTTTTCCTCTCCTGCCTTCCTGGGCCTGTTCCTGTGTGTTTGTTTGGGTCCTCGATGCATTCAGGAGAGGGCGACATCACTCCCTTGCTGGCCCTGCCACCTCTTATATTCATATTCATATTCATATTCCCTCTCCTTCCTCCCAGTAAAAGGTGGATGGAAGGGTGTTCACCCTGAAGCTCTCTCAACCTCTTCTCATTCTCTTTATTTCTGTGCATTTGTACGTGGCTATGCCTCTTCTCTCGCTGTCTCAATCTTGTTCATTCTGCCCCCCATTTTCTGTCTCTGAAGGTGGGGAGGTGGGGGAGGGCTTGTAGCTAGAACCTGGGGAGGCGGAGGCCGGGTCAGCTCCCAGAGCCCGGCACCACCTCCCCCCTGTGGACGTCTCTCATTGATCTGTTTCTTTGGGTCATTCGTGTTTTCCTCTCCTGCCTTCCTGGGCCTGTTCCTGTGTGTTTGTTTGGGTCCTCGATGGATTCAGGAGAGGGCGACATCACTCCCTTGCTGGCCCTGCCATATCTTATACTCATATTCATATTCCTGCTGGCCCTGCCACCTCTCATATTCATATTCATATTCATATTCATATTCCCTCTCCTTCCTCCCAGTAAAAGGTGGATGGAAGGGTGTTCCCCGAAGCTCTCTCAACCTCTTCTCATTCTCAGTCTTGTTCATTCTGCCCCCCAGTTTCTGTCTCTGAAGGTGGGCAGGTGGGGGAGGGCTTGTAGCTAGAACCTGGGGAGGCGGAGGCCGGGTCAGCTCCCAGAGCCCGGCACCACCTCCTCCTACCTCTGCCCCAGCTCCTGCCACGCCCTGGCCCTGGCCTGGACCTTCTCCTACCTCCTGTTCTTCCGCGCCCTCAGCCTGCTGGGCCTGCCCACTCCCACGCCCTTCACCAACGCCGTGCAGCTGCTGCTGACACTGAAGGTCAGACCCCCCCGCCACCCTCCCGCGTGCGCTCTGTGGCCGTCCTTCATTGATCTGTTTCTTTGGGTCATTCGTGTTTTCCTCTCCTGCCTTCCTGGGCCTGTTCCTGTGTGTTTGTTTGGGTCCTCGATGGATTCAGGAGAGGGCGACATCACTCCCTTGCTGGCCCTGCCACCTCTTATATTCATATTCATATTCATATTCCCTCTCCTTCCTCCCAGTCGCCACTCCCAGGAGGAACAGGGGAGGCGGGATTTTATCTCCCACGCACCCTGGGCGGGGCTGCACCTCTCAGTTCTCACCCTGGGGGAAGAGGTACCTCGAATACTGCGTACCTGGGAGGCCGGTGCTAAGTGCTCACCTACAGGCTTTCCTGCCTCTTTGGGGCAAGCTGTGCTGTGAAAGAGGGAGACCAGCTCTGGGGGAAGGCACTTATCCAAGGACAGGAAACCAGGACACCCAGGTCACCTGGGAAGATGGGTGAAAACAGCTTCCCTGCCCTGGCTTGCTTGGCTCAGTGGATGGAGCATCAGCCTGCGGACCAAAGGGTCCAAGTTTCATTCGATTCCAGTCAAGGGCTCCCTGGCCTGGGCCCTGGTTGGGGCTTGTGCAGGAGGCAACCAATCGATGTGTTTCTCTCACATCGATATTTCTCTCTATCTTTCCCTCCC